CCCCCGCCGTGCCCACCTGTGTAGCACAGGGCGAGCTTGCGCTTGCTGCACAGCTCGTCGTTCCACTTGCCGGGGTCCTGATCCCGCTGGATGTAGATCTCCACGCAGTCCTCGTTAGCCTGCTTGTTGTTCGGCTCCCCGGGAGCCCAGTTCGCGGCCTCCTCCGTCAGAGGCTTCCCGGTGCCAATCCAGACCCACTGGCCTTTGATCTTGCGGATCCCGATCCAGTAGTAAGAGCCTGAGCGGCTGAATATGGAGTTCAGGTACTGGATCTCCTCCTGGTTCTGAATCGCCACCAGGTGGGTGTAGTGCTTTTGACAGTAGGCGCTGGCCTCCTCAAAGGTCATGTTGTCCTCGGAGGCATTGTAGGACCAGGCTCCGCCCTGTCTGACCAGGAGGAGCGCTGAGTGGGAACGTGAAAGGAAGGAGAGCGGTTAGTCCTGCCGTGGTCTGGCTCTGAGCTGCCTTCCTCCCCTCCCCACTGTTCTTCTTCCCCCTTTCACTGAGGGAAAGTACAGTTTGCCACCCTCACATGGTAAGTGCACCGTTAGGGGCATTAAATAGTGTCATATGGGCAGGCCTCACCACCACTCGTCTCCACATTCTTCCATCCTGAACACTGAAACTTTAAATCTATTGACCTATGACCCCCACCCCCTGCCCCAGCCTGGCGACCAGCATTCCACTTTCCGTCCCTAAGGCGTGCTCTGCCCTGTCTCCTGCCAGCGGAGCTCTAAGGCTGTGACCGGGCCTTTTACCCTCTTAGGGAGGCCGACAGTGGGCTTCTGGGTGACTCGAACCTCGTTCGCCTTTTCCAAAGTAAGAAGGGGTTTGGACGGAGGAACTTCCGTTTCCTGCGCTTTTCTTCTGTGACTGGCTCTGCACTTGCTTTGCCTGCTCCCACCACAGCCCATAGGACCCCTCTGCAGGGGACAGTGGTCAGAGTGAGCAGGCGCTGCCGGGCGCCACCAGCCTGCCGGGGAGCTGTGCCTGCGTGACCCTGACCCTCACGTGCCTCTGGGACTTAGCGGTGCAGGGTCAACACCTCGCACTTACGGAAACTGAGGCACAAGGAGGTAAACTGCCCTAGTCCAGGGCAAGCCGCATGGTGTGGGAGGCCGGGACGTTGCTCGGCCCTGCAGTGCAGAGGATGCCCACCCACCAGGAAGCATCATCGGTCCGAAAGGGCCCCAGTGCCCTGATGGAGGATGGGAGAGCTGCTGGGATGGCATCGGCTTACCAAAGGCCACAGCAGAGAGCAGCCGCGGGGCAGTCATGGCTTCAAGAGTTCTTCCCATCGAAGGTCAGATTTGAGGTGCTTTTCTGGGGACAAAAGGCACAAAACGAATGAAACCCAGGCGGCCGGTTTCTCGGCTCATTCTCCAGGGATGTTTGCGGCAGCCTCCCAGGACCTTAGGTAAAGGGCTCCAGGGCCACAGTCTCTATGAAAAAAAGGTTTGCCTGAATGAATAAATGGGAATTTTAAATGTGCACCCTTGAGGTCCCAGGGAAAAGCCAGCCTTTGCCTGGACGTAGAAAGATCCCATCGGGAGGCTGTTGCATATCTGTTCATAGCGGTCATCTCAGTTGCATGGCCCAGGGCTGCTCGTTAGAGACTTACGGGTTTGTGGAGAGGCTGTTTCCCTGTCCGATTCTGATTCCCGGAGCGTCCCCTCTGTGCCCGGCCCCCTCTGAGTCCCCGTGCCACTGCGTCCGCTGCTCCTGCAGTGCTGGTGCCAAGTCAGCCGACAATAGCAGAGCCCGCTCTGCCCGAGCCTTTATAGGCCGCTGGCTTCCTGTGAGTCACAGGAGAGCACTCCAGACCCGCGGGCAGGAATTCCCAGCAGCATCCCAGAAGTTTCCCGGGAATATCCATGATGCTAAAGATTATAAAGATACCAGGAACCCTGCCCCTCACAACCAAGTCTCCTTTGTTACACACCTTTCCATTTTACATGAATTCTATTAATATGACACAAATGCATGGTCTTTCATTTTCATCATGTAAAATCTCCATCTTTAAAAGGTTTTAAAACTTTGCTAATTAGCCCTGGCTGGCGTGCTCAGTAGTTAGAATGCCAGCCCATGCACTGAAGGGTTGAGGGTTTGATTCACAGTCAAGGGCATGAACCTGGGTTTCAGGTTCGATCACTGGCACCAGTCAGAGCTCATTGGAGAGACAACCAACCAATGTGACTCATATCAATGTCTCTCTCTCTCTCTCTCTCTCTCCCCCTCCCTCCCTTCCTCTCTCTAAAAAGCAGTAGAAAAAATATTCTCAGGTGAGGATTAAAAAAAAAAAAGCTTTACTGATTAGCAGCAGCTCCTCTGTAATTGTGGTAGTAATGCCTGTAATGGGTTACCACCCACGTTTTCCCTCTTTCTCACCTTTCAAGTCAACCCATTGTAAGGCACACTGTCTTTCAGAGGAATGAGTCACAAGCTGCACAATAATCCGCAGATTCTGTGCATAATTACAGCCAAATTACTAGAAATAATATTTCCAAAATGTGCCAGCCCCCATTCTGAGTATTTTGCACATTCATCTATCTGACTATTTAGTCTTCACAGCAGTCTATGAAATAGGTACTCTTACTCTCCCCATTTTAAAGATGAGGACATTGAGACACCGCAGATTTTACCTTCTCAGCCAAAAGCACAGAGCTATGGGGGAGACCCAGACAGCCACTCTCGGAACCCGATCCCTTAACTGCTACCTCATGTCCTGGTTCCTCTTATTGTCAGGTCCTCGATGGGCCTCCCTGTCCTGCTCGAGTCTTCAGTCTTCCTTCTTCTTCCCTGAGCAAGAGGATCACCCCAGGTTTCAGCTGGGAGAGCTGATATTCATGGATCCTGAGACACGGAGGCAGGAAGGAAACCCAGAACAGAGGACAGAGGCTGCAGTGAGAATGGATCCCAGCCCCCAGCACATGGGGAGAAAGAGGACAGAGAAGTGAGCGTGCAGGCCGAGCATCCCTGGGAACCACTGTGGACCCCTTTGCCACACTTCCTAGGAGATCCTGACTCCAGAGCAAATTCTCTCTGTAGCTAAAGGACAAAATGATTGTTTAAATGTAAATTGAGTTAACTCGAGGAGAGAATCCAATACCACAAGGAGGGATGAAAGAAATGAGTGGATGCTCTGACTGGTTTGGCTCAGTGGCTAGAGCATCGGCCTACGGACCAAAGGGTCCCAGGTTCAATTCCAGTCAAAGGCATGTACCTTGGTTGTGGGCACATCCCCAGTAGAGGGTGTGCAGGAGGCAGCTGATTGATGTTTCTAACTCTCTATCCCTCTCCCTTCCTCTCTGTAAAAAAATCAATAAAATATAAAAAAAGAAAAGAAATGAGTGGATGAGACTTGTGAGTAAAGGTAACCTATTATTATTATTACTAGAGACCCAGTGCACAAAATTGAGTGCGGTAGCCCACCGCTGCTGACCGCGCTCGCCACCCCGCCCGCCCACCTGCCACTGATTGCGACGCTTGCCTGCCACCCCCCTTGCTGCGATCGGAGCCTGTGGACCACAGGGGAGGGACCAAGAGGTGGCCAATACACCTCAAGGTGACTGGTCGAGCGGTTATTTCGGTCGTGATGCTTATGGCCTCCGGCCTTTTATCACATAGGATTGTAACAGTGGGAATTGCAACCCACCCACCATTCTCTTGACATTGTTTCTTTAAATGCTGACACAGACTAGTATGCAGCTTGAAGATAAACAGCATGTTTGTCTAAGAATCCTAGGAATTAACTTCAGCAGATACAGGCCCTGAACTTCAGTCATCCCTGTTCCGGGAGATTTGCTGACCTTCAAATGTAGAATCAGGATGACAAAGACCAGGATGATGCATATCAGCCCATCACTTGACCAGTTTTGAGATCCTTATCGGAATGGACTGTGCTGGACTGACGGCAGAGAACCTTTCCATCTCCTCTCCTTGATTTCTTTGTTCAGCTTTCCCTCTCCCCCATTATGAAAACCACTGAGGTGGGGAGATGGGCTTGGATAAGAGTCCCCCATCTCCTCGAGACGCCGGCACTTGAATGAACCTCTTTCCTTTTTCACCAGCACCTGTCTCCTGAGTTTGTTTGTTTTTTGTGGCATCAGGCAATCGAACTTGGGTTCTGGTTACATTATTATTGTCACCAGAGATATGAAGTTCCAAACCTAACACAGTCATCCTGCATTCTCCCAGAGGGAGTCCTTGAGGGGGGTCTGAGAATAGGTGCCTGGGGTACTGGGGTCTCTCTTCAAGCTCCAGGGCTGCTGAAGGGTCACAGACAGACCTGGAGGCCTGTCATAGAGAGACCCCACACAGGGAGGGGCAGGAGCCGGCGACAGATGGACTGCAGCCTCTTCACTTGCACTTTCCTGTCAGGTGAAGGGCACCCCCCCTTGGGAGCACCCCCCTGTTGGAGATCAGCAATGAGTTGCAGAGGAAATTGGGTGAGAGTTGAATAGTTGGGGATGTTGAATCTTCTCTCTCACTCCCCAATAAAGCTAATTTCCCCCAAGTAACATGCCGATTAGAGGTGTCCCTGCTGAGTTGCACCTCTGGTTTCACGTGGGCCCCTTTACAATCTCCACCGTGGGGGAGACAAGAGAAAAAGCAGGAGGTGGGGCACACGTGGGCACAGCCCCGCCCCACCACCAGGGCTGCTTGGTCTCAGAGGCGCCACACTTCCCGGCTGAGCATCCCTTTCCTGGAAGCTCCTGCCCGCTCCTCCTCTAATGGGGCCCCTAGGACTCGAACCGCTTTCGCTTCTGTGCCCAGGTCAATTCATGCTCACCTTTATGACGAAGGGACAGCCCTGAGGGAGCGAGAGCCAGAGCAAGGATGTCGGGGTTTCCAAGACGAACGTCGCCGTTTTCTCCAAGGCGCCCTGTACACCCTCGGGAAAAGGCAGCACCGGCCATGACACAGGCAGAAAGGCAGCCCGTGAAAGGCGTGGCTTTAGCGCTGGCTCCTCGCTGCTGACGGGAACGGCAAAGCTGGCAGGGGCCGCCTCTGGCCTTCCTGAGGCCCTCAGTCCCCTCACTTCTGGGCAGGGTGGCTGGGCGCTCATTTTTTAAAAACTTGGCACCTTCCCCCCAAATTCTACTCTGCTGGCATCTAAAGCACTTCTGCAGGGTCTAAGGTAGGGGAGGAAATCCCAATAAAGGTCCAGTCCTACATGCAGAACACGGCTGTATTTCTTGCGCACCCCAAATCCTGAAATACACTTCATACCAGTGCACCATCATGGTGTCCAATGGCGTGCCTTGTTTGATCAACCCACGGGCTTATTTGATGGGAAACTGATCTGGCTCCTGCTAAGTTCATCCCCCAGGAAGGTTGGTCATTCATTTGGGATTTGGAGATACCTTGGGTCATCGGAGTCAGGTAGGGGCCCTGGGCACTCTTGATCTGCACTCCCACACCCGGGGGGACGGGGGGGTCTCAGATTCTCCTCTTGAAGAAGACTAACTGGGCAGCTCAGTTATTTATTTATTTGTTTGTTTAGAAATTATTTTACTTATTGATTTTAGAGAGAGGGAGAGAGAGAGAAACGTGGATGTGTTGTGGCACTTGTTTATGCATTCGGTGATTAACTGTTGTCTGTGCCCTGACCGGGGATGGAGCCAAAGCCTTGGTGTGTCAGAATGACACTCCAACCACCTGAGCGGCGTGGCCAGGGCCATGGGCAGCTCCTTTAAAATGCACATCTTCAGGCCCAACATCCAGAGCGTCTGACTCCATAGGCCTGGGTGGGGCCCAGGAAGCTGCTCTTTAAGCGAATACCTCAGGTGATTCTGACAGGATGACCAGGCCCGGCCACTGAGAGGCTCTGGCCCCGGGCCACCTAAGGTGGGAGGGAGCATGGAGAAGGCCTGTGGCCGGTGCTCAGTTACAGGCGCTGGATTAGCTGCAGTCAATCCTGACACCCTCTCTCCTGGACGGCTGGACGCCCCTCGGTGGCAGCACTGGGCAGACGCAGGGACGATGCAGGGTGAGTGGGGGTTTCAAATTCCTGGACATGGAAGGTGAGTGGTTTGTAGCCAAGGACAGGGAATTGTGGCTCGTGGGGACACATGTATGCACCTACGAGCTTATTCCCTGTTCTCCGCTTGACTTGGAGGAGAAACGGAATTCCACTCCCCTTTCTAAATTCTCTAGATAACGCTGAGACTCTTAACATTTCCTTGCTTCCTGCGTGGCAGAGCCTTATCTCGAGGCTTCCTTCGCCTGCTTGGGGAGGTAAGAAGGAAAGAATGGGAATATCTCCAGAATGAGCCGGTCCTGGTGAATTCCCAAGGCGGAAGAAACCGGCGTGCGGGCTGGAACTGACAGCTCTTCCTGGTCACAGCCAGCCCTTCGGTAGCAGGGGAAATGCCCAGGTTTGAGAAAAGGCCCCGCGCTTGTTTTCCTTGGCCGCTGAGCCCCTTGTTTTGTCAGTCCGAAGTTTCCTCGGGGGTTATTCTTAGCTCTGTGGCGCCTCACACCAGAAAAATCCTGGCCTGGTCACTTTTCAAATAAGAAGAGATTGCTGTTTCATCCGACTTAGCTCTGCGACCGGAGCAAAGCTTCTTTGCCTCTTTATTTTGTTGTTGTTAATCCTCACCTGAGGATGTTTTTTCCATTGCTTTTCAGAGAAGGAGGGATGGAGGGAGGGATGGAGGGAGGGATGGAGGGAGGGAGGGAGGGAGGGAGGGTGAAACATCAATGTGAGAGAAACACATGAACTGGTTGCCTCCTGC